ACTGTATCTCCACTAATTGTTTAAAATTGTATCTCCACTACTAGTTTAAAACTGTATCTACACTCTGAATTTAAAACTGTATTTCCACTACTAGTTTAAAACTGTATCTTCACACCAAGTTTAAAATTATATCTCCACTACTAGTTTAAAACTGTATCTCCGCTACTAGTTTAAAACTGTATCTACACTCTAAATTTAAAACTGTATCTCCACTTTAAGTTTAAAACTGTATCTTCACACCAAGTTTGAAACTGCATCTTCTCTTTTAGTTTAAAACTGTATCTCCACTACTAGTTTAAAACTGTATCTACACTCTAAATTTAAAACTGTATCTCCACTACTAGTTTAAAACTGTATCTCCGCTACTAGTTTAAAAATGTATCTTCACTACTACTTTACAACTGTATCTTCACTACTGGTTTAAAAATGTATCTTCACACCAAGTTTAAAACTGTATCTCCACTACTAGTTTAAAACTGTATCTACACTCTAAATTTAAAACTGTATCTACACTCTAAATTTAAAACTGTATCTACACTCTAAATTTAAAACTGTATCTACACTACTAGTTTACAACTGTATCTTCACACCAAGTGTAAAACTGTATCTCCACTACTAGTTTAAAATTGTATCTACACACCAAGTTTGAAACTGTATCTTCCCTTCTAGCTTAAAACTGTATCTCCACTACTAGTTTAAAACTGTATCTTCACACCAAGTTTCAAATTATATCTCCACTACTAGTTTAAAACTGTATCTTCACACCAAGTTTCAAATTATATCTCCACTACTAGTTTAAAACTGTATCTTCACACCAAGTTTCAAATTATATCTCCACTACTAGTTTAAAACTGTATCTACACTCTAAATTTAAAACTGTATCTCCACTACTGGTTTAAAACTGTATCTTCACACCAAGTTTAAAACTGTATCTCCACTATTAGTTTAAAACTGTATCTACACTAAATTTAAAACTGTATCTCCATTTTCAGTTTAAAACTGAATCTTCACACCAAGTGTAAAACTGTATCTCCACTATTAGTTTAAAACTGTATCTACACTCTAAATTTAAAACTGTATCTCCATTTTCAGTTTAAAACTGAATCTTCACACCAAGTGTAAAACTG